GTGGGCAAGACTTGAAAGTGGTCACAGAAGGTGACAGTTGCTGTGTGCCAGGTGCTGGGACCCAGGTATTCCAGAAGTAATGAATGCATGTGCAGTGAGAAGTCTTGTCAGTGTATTTCTAGTTTCATTGTTATTAATTATTATTATTATTATTTAGTATAGGGTCTACAGGGTCTCACTATATAGATTGAACTCATAGTGATTCTCCTGTTTTCAGCTTTCCAAGCTCTGGGATTATAGGCACAGGCTACCACATCCAGTCTCAATCGCCTTCTCAGCATGCCCCAGGGGTGGGGCTGGCAGCACAGGGCGGGTATTGAACCCTGGCTGCTGCACTTTGCCTGAGCAGGTGCTTTAGTCTGCTGAGTTGTCTGGCCAGCCTTCCAGTTTTATTATTGAATGGAAAAAGATAAAAATTTCAAAACAAAATGATGGAATAATAATATTTAATATATTCTATATTGTTATCATCATAGTAGTTACTCAAAATAGAAGAAATGGACTTAAAAATTCTCCCAGGACTTGGGAGGCTGAGGTATGTGGATCATTGCAAGTTCAAGACCAACCTGGGCTACAAAGTAAGCTCATGGCCAGCCTACACTGCATAGTGAGACCCTATCTCAAAAAGACAGTACATAAATAAATAAATAATCTCAGAATAATACTAGCAGAAACCTTTCTTTTCAGTGAGCTAAGAGAAGATAGTAGTATAGCTATCTTGTATTCTGTTTTCTCTTTTCCCTTCCTTTCTCATTTCCAAAGCTTCCTAGTTTTAAAACTATCTTTTTCTTTGCAAGTAACAATTAGAAAATATGAATCGTTCATGCCTCTGTGATCAAATTAGGCTATTCCTCATTACTTATTATTGATGCTATGATTCTATAGTTACAAAAACCAAATTAAAATGTAATACTTGGTCACTATACTCTTAAAATATTGAGTAAAATGTGTATTTTAAAGGTAAATTCTTTCCATCAAATACTTTATTATATAATTTTTTGACTTATGTGCAAACATGAGAAGCATAGAATTCTTTATCCTATTTTTTAAAATATAAT